GGTGCTTTACATTCAGTCATTCAGCCACACTGATGGTGGGTACATGCCATGTAGCTCACTACCCTTATTGACAGAAGCGTGTCTGATGCCACCAGTCTCTCCGATGATAATCAGTAGGCAATGCGGGTGGCGTCTTTCCCAAAAACAACACTGAAAGCCGAAGCTAGGGCTTGAGACAAACCTACATTAACATATTTAATATGTTTTACCAGAAATCTAACAAAAAAAAAATGTAAAAATTTGACCTCAGCCGCTACGAGCGGTTTGGACAACCAGAAAACAACAGATCTGATCCTATCATCAAACTTTGATTGCCTTCTGGTGAGCCCCAAAAGACTCGTCATCATACCAGTGCTATTGATGGTGTTGCTATGACGACTGTTTCTTAAAGAAAGAAAAAAAAAAAAAATCCCCCTTCCAGAGGACGTTAAACACTGTATATCTGATTCCAGGTAACACAGCACTGAAGGGGAGGAGAGCAAGAGGAAGTCACCTTGTTGAGGAGGGTCAGCTTGATGTCTTTGTGAGAGCCTGAACCTCCGTAGCTTCCAGGGGGCCCCATGGTGCCGGGGCGAGGATGAGCAGGATGCCCCCCCCTGTTGCTGGGTCCTGATCGAGGGATGGCGTTGCTTCCTCTGGGCGGACCTCCGGAAGGGTCAACCTTCCTGCGATCGTCCCTGAAATGTTCCTCTTTCTTTGACGGCCTTTCTGCGAGGCGAGAAAACATGAAACCTGGTTTTTAATTGACATAATTTAAACTAAAATTTCAAGGTAATTTGTTCCAAACAGAATTCTGATCTGTGAGGGTTTAAAATGTTCAGGTTAACTATAGCTGCGTTTGTAGAAGCTGTTCCTTAAAGTTTCGCATCAGTGAAGTTTGATGGAAACGGCAATATTCGAATCAACTCCCTAAAGTTCACAAAAACATTTTCAAGCTCGCCTAAGTTTTTTATTTTATTTAACATTTGTAAAAACGAGTTGATGCATAAAACAGGAGATGGAAACACGTTTTTCAAATCAGCTCTGATTCAGCAAACCTTTACACTCATAACTGATCGACTGGTTCTGCCGCCTGCGTCTTCCTGGATGTTCCTGTTCAACATGTAAACATGACAGGAAGCAGCGCCGCCATCGCTGGCTGACATGGTAACGACAGCTATAGCAGCACATTCATCAAAGCTTTCCCCCGTCACTGATCTCTGCTCAGTGTCAGCCTCTAGTTCCTGTTTGCTACAGCCATGTATGCCAACATCATGTGGAAGACATTACGCTTTGTTGTGCTTGTTAATTCAAAACGCAGCAAATTTGCATTTCCTTTATACGAACTTATAAGTTTGCTTAAAATTCGAATTCCAGTTAAATGGAAACACTGCTAATAACTTGTCTGTAAGGCTTCCCTCCATCACACAGCCTTCAATTTAAACCCTAAAGCATCCTTGTGTGTTGAAGTGATGTCTCCTTTGTCCGCTTACAGAGGGGGAACTGTCTAAGCAGCGTTTTTTTAACGCTTGACAGATGCTGAATAAAAAAAAAAAAAACTCCTGGCTTTTCATTTCTAGCTTGTTTTACCTGAGCTTGTTTTCCTGTTTTACTGTTGATGAGAAATGCTAAGCTAAGCTAAGCTGCTCTACTTTCAGACAGGCTCTCAGGTCTGTTAGCTAAAGCGGCTCTGGGCCACACTGACCCCTGATCTTCTCCCGACCCGGTGGGGACCGGTCCCGCGGGGGCCCCCGCTCTCTGCGAGGGTGATTTGGCGTTGGCGAGCGAGAGCTTGCAGATGACACCGGGCTGGCCAGGTCGGCGTACATGTCGTCAGAGTCGGCGCTGCGCACCGAGCTGCTGCTGGATGATGCCGAGGACACCGAGGACACGCTGCTGACGCTCAGTGACCTGAAACCAAAGACGAACTGTGATGAGCGTCCAGCTGCTGACAGCAGGAAACTACCTTCAGCAGATCATCTCACCTGGACTTCCTGGAGAAATCCCCAACAAAAGCAGCAAATGAAAGAAAAAAAAATAAAGCATCAGTATGGGGGGGTGTCAATGGCTGCTTAAACACAGACTGAGGATAAATGCTTTAAAAACATGATGCATCCAAATAGGAGGAAAAATGTTAGAAATGATAAAGTTGATCAAAAAGGTCAGAAATAGAAGAGAGATTCAAACAGGCTAATAAATAATGTGGCAGATGTTCTATGAAGGAGGACTGTGATTGGTTAACAGGGATGTTCTGAAACAATAAACCTGGTTTGCAGCAGTCTACTCGTGCTCTGATGACATGCCCGAGTCACAGTCATCCATGTCACCTTCCTGTCCCTGACTCCAGCCTACCTGGATTTCCTGGAGCCGGTGTGCGAGCGAGACCTGGAGGGCGAGGCTGACAGCGAGTTGGACGAGGATCTGGACCTGGAGCTGGAACCCGTATAACTGCTGCCGCTGACGCTCCCGCTCACCGTCCTCCTGGAAAAGACGGAACCGGAACATGTTAAACCTGTCACCCGGACGACAAGGGCTCTGGACACACCGCTAGACACAGCCTCCCACTGCAGAACCCGGTGGTGGCATGCTGAGGGACAGGGAGCTGCTTCCTGAAGGGGAGTCCAGGCGTGCCT